CGACCTGTCATAGACTCTGTGAATCCATGTCACTTGCTAACGTGTTACATTAATACACTATACACAAGGCTGAATGTTTTATGATACCTGGACTGACTGCTGGCACACATTATGCAATAATCTACTGCAGTTACATGTTGTTGTGAGATGAGTGGCTGCAGGTGTGACATATACCATCCTGCTAATTATCACTAATTGGCTACAAATATCAATCAATGTCTATCTTTATGACCGCACAGATTGAGGGTGTGGGTGGAAACCGCGCCCCTAAAATTGAAAAGATAAATATCGTACGATGTTAAAATCATATAATTCACGTTAAATCAGGGTTACTTGACACGCCCCTACTAGCCATACTCTTGACATATCGTATTTGACGTAATACGCGCCCAGGGTGCTCTCAAAATTAGAAATAGGGGGCTCTTATTAGAATATTATTTTGGTGAAAAAAAACAGAGTTGAAAGATTCATGGTTTATGGTGACAACCTGAAATGTTTATATACGACAGATATATTTTTCCAGAATTTAATTGCCCATAATTAAGGGTGCACATAACACACAAATGTGTATTATACACGAATAAATAAGTCTTGTGTACATTGATCAATTTGAAGGGGTGCTAATTGGGATTATTCACTAGCCAATATATTAGCAAATATCGCCGTGGGCGCTTATTACGTTTAATTCGGTACATGGAATCCATACTATAATTATTTGAATGTTACACTGGTCTCCTAACAACCAATGAAATGATTGCGTATATTTTGTACCTGACTGGTGATAATATCCAATCAGATGACATACCTGGCCGGCCGTGCTAATTATGGCATAGACAAAGTGGCATTGTAGTGCAGTCTGATAAAATGTTGCTAGACCCATTATGGATTTAAGATAATTTGAGAAATGGACAAAAAGTTACAGTTGAGCCAAAAATCAATAAATTAAATTTGTGCAGGCTAAATTATCGCCACCTACAAAAAGGGCTTGATAAGCATATTTTCAAACCAACAAAGCACTCTTTGCAATTTGAAAAATTCGAAGTCAGCTGATCATAAAACAAGATATAAATTTGTTTTTCCCCATGTTCTAATTTAATAAATGTTGAAAAATTGCATGAGAAAATTAGATAAATGAATAAATTTTTTGGCATGTATTATAACATTGACGCAACAGAGGCCAGTTGGGGGTAGAACATGTGTTTCCTGTGCTAGGAACACGTTGATATCAGTGCAACCTAGACCCTGGTGGAAATAATTGAAAAGCCCTCGAGCTGAGACCCATAATTTGCAGGGAGTTGAGATAGTACTGTATATTGTGAAGCAGATTAAACAGCTGACAAGGAGGAAGCTTGCTGATTGCAGTGAAATAAATCAATAAATGTGAGGCATGTGTTTGACAGTGATGGACATGTGGCTGGTGTTGTTGATTGCACTTGTTGGTGTATATTACATAGATATATACACCTTGAATAACGTTAAGCACCGACGACTACATATTTTTAGCTAACCTGAGTGAGATTTCTCCTCTGAAATGAGGAAGCTGAACTTTGGCTTGTATATTTCTTCATCTTTTGTTCGAATTATTAGAATATTAATGTTTTTTAGCTATCATTATTATTTAGAAGTAAACTGGCCATTCCAAATGTGCATTTTTACCAAGTGAAACTATACTTATACAAGTATAACTATAGAAGTTATACTCCAACCATGGTTTAAGTCAATGAAATCGCTTGAAGATCTGTGGTAGGATAGGTCTTCAGCCATCAATGCTTGCAGTTAGAGGCGACTAATGGGATCGGGTGGTCAGGCTCGCTGATTTGGCTGATGCATGTCATCGTATCACAATTGCATGGATTGATGTGTGGATTGTCTGGTCCAGACTTGATTATTTACACACCGCCGTCATATAGCTGGAATATTGCTGAGCGCAGCGTTAAACAACAAACAAACATTTGAATCAGTTGATTCTGTGAGTAGAATCAACAGATTGTCATAATTTCTCCATTACATAATTGAAAAACAATGCTGACAGAAAGTTTTGTGAAGTGGCTGTCTTTGTTGACATTATAAACTATTGACTACATATCCAGGTGAGCTACAGTGCCAGGGTACTGTTATTGAAGTTATCATATGTTAATTCTCTAACAAACCACTTCTGTTTTTGTTTGCTAAATGACATACCATTGATAAATACTGAGATTGAAATCCATCATCAAATGAAATATTCTCTAACAGATCTATTAAACAAACACACAGTCCCTGAGGGGTGGTCGGGTAGCCTAGTGGTTAAAGCGTTCGCTCGTTATGCTGAAGACCCAGGTTCGAATCCCGACATGGATACAATGTGTGAAGCCCATTTCTGGTGTCCCCCGCCGTGATCATTGCTGGAATATTTCTAAAGGCGGCGTAAAATCAAACTCACTCGCTCACACAGTCCCTGAAATTAAGTCATGTATAAGGTTAGGTAAACATCATTCTCCAAAGGAACCCACGAGCATCAAAAGGAAACCCTCAAGTCTCTTAATTTCCAAGAGCTGAAAAAGGGATGACTATTGGCTGCTGAAGCTGAGAAGGGGATGAGTTGGTAATGAGGGTAAATGTATTATTGAATGTATGCTCTAGGGGATGTGAGAGAGATTTTCATTTTTTCCTATTTTTTTGGCTGTTCTGTTACAAGAGCTGTTTGTGGACTCTTTCATAGCTTTGTCTGCTCCTTTGAATCATATATGACCCAGTTATCGTGACTCCTTGGAGGAACCATTTCCGGTGACCTCTGCCACAGTACTGCTGGAATATTGCTAAATACAGCTTAAGACGATAATCGGTGCTGGCAGCAACGTTTCAGCAGGTGGAATTTTAGACATTATTTGAGAATGAAATGACATGAAGATCTTTCTCAACGATCAATTGAAGTTCATGTTTTTTTAAAGAAAAGAAGTGGAGGGTGTGCTTAAATTTTAGAAGTTTTGTTGTTTGGAGGAATGAAAGAAAACTTTGAAAAGTGTCTTTTGTATGAAGCATTGTAGGGTTGCTTTCCCCATTGACTTGCATTTCAAATTTGCATGGTCACTGACCATTTCTCAACATTTTTTGACGTTTTTTCTAAATTATTCCTTGCATAAAGTTGACTGTACCAATGACTTTGGTTTTTGTGAAACTGTCAGCAAATGCGCTTATTTCTGTCCGTGGAAAAAGTTTGTGTAGATTTTCTGTTATAATTCTAGGAGAAGGAATCAAATCGGTGGAAATAGATGTTTCCTGTCTACTATCAGTACCAGTAATGCCATCGTGTAAACAGCATGTGCCATGTGATCACATGCATATCTCTGGGTAGCCCACTCCATTATTTTATTCATTAAATTAATAAGAAGTTCTTTTATCAATTTGTCGTCTGCCAACCGACGTAAAGCAATATCCTCCGGATTTGATCTACACATGCTCATCCATAACACAATGTTCTATAGATTTTGTGATATATTAAGGTTATACATTTTTAGAAAACTAGCTAAATTAATGTTTGGAATTGTATTTTGGGGAAGAAATGAGAGACAGAATGTAAGCAATGACAGGACTATTAATGTGCTTCATCATCTTGGTGGATTTTTGTTGACAAGTTAATTATTTCTTTTCTAAAGTTTATCTTAGCAAGGTGCTTATATGGTGTGTGTTTTCCTGACAAGAATATTTTATTTCATTATTTATTGATAAATAAGTTTCTCTTCTTATAAAAATGATCCAAAGTAAAACAAGTATCACATGCTTGCCATAATGGGGGGTTGGAGAAAACTTTTTTTTGGCAATAACTGGTCGCTATCCAGTAGAAGCTTTCTGTCAGCAAAACCATTAATTAAATCATTGAGATTGGTTGAAAAAACACTTTGTCTTATGACAGTTTGTCCATTGTCCAGTGTAGATCCGGGTTAATATTGGTCTTCAGCAGCCCTTGCTTGATGTAAGAGTAGCAGGATCAGGTGGTCAGACTTGCTGACTTGGTTGATGCATGTCATTGTATCCCAATTATGTAGATGGATGCTCATGATGTCAATCACTGGATTATCTGGTCCAGACTCGATCATTTACAGATTTACAAATTTGCATTAGCTAATGGTCCTTGGTCTGTAACCGCATCCATGGTCAAGTGGTAGTGCAGTCACCCTAAGAGCGGAAGGTCGGGGGTTCGATCCCTGGCCGCGTCATACCAAAAGACGTTTAAGATGGTACTTGTTGTGTCCCTGTCTGGCGCTCGGCATTAAGGGGCTGAAACAAGGACTGGTCAGCCTGGAGACAGTATACTGTGTCTGAGTGGGGTATCCATGTTAAACTGCAACATGGTATCTCAGTGGGCTAACTCTATAAAACCAGCATTAGTCCAGACTAGTACAAGCAGGCACACTCATACACATCTGTGTGCATGTCACTATATAAATGCAAAAATCTTGAACGTGACGTTAAACCCCATTTCACCTAATCTTACATCTGCTTGGTCTTGCATATTTCGGGGGCATGGATGGCCCAGTCGTCTAAGGCGCCGCGATTCGCTGTGCAGAGTTGCGTTCCTTGGGCACGCCAGAAACCTAAGATTGTGGGTTCGAATCCCGGTTCGACCCGATTATGCTTCTAGGTTTGTCAGCACCATACCCGTGCTCGTGGGTTTCACCGAAGTGGTAAACGTCTGAGACCTGCATCACTTCGGGCTTTCCTCCCACATTAAGTTGACACGCTGTGATATAACTGGAATACTGTTAAAAGCGGCGCGAAACCCAACTCACTCATTCACTCTTGCATATTTCCATGGTTTTGTCTGATAAACATCTGTGACCCGCATCATTTGACTGTCCTCGCACATAACACTGACACGCTGTGTTATTCCAGAAACAACAGGAATCAGTGTTGATCCCAACTCACTAACTCATCCGAGCCTGAGAAATGTATGGATTTTTTCTGATGCCTGGATCTTCTTCTTCATGGATAAATATATTAGTTCTTTGTTTTTGTTCCAGAAATAAGTTCCGGTGTAGTGACACCTGCCTCAATACCCGGTCTCCGAGAGTTGGCCTTCACCTTTCCGAGTGAGAAGCTGACTGGGCCAATGATGGGATCTGAGGCTGTTCCATCAACCCCCCCGCCTGCCTATAACCAACGAAGAAGAGCGTCAATGCACGACGCCATCGATTTCACTAAAATTGACACAAGGCTTTATGACAAAAAGGTAAATTTGATTTGTATTTTTCTTCATATTCTAAAATATATTGTGAATCTTTCCATGTGTTGTAGACTTTGTTAAAGATTAGCATTGTACAGTGTTTATATATCTATATCTATACATGTTTTTTTAACATTGCTTCATGTATGTTCAATTTATTGTTTTTTAGGAGACATCACACAAAAATGAGAGTCATGTTTTCTTCGTTCAAAGCTACACAAGCTGAGAAACATTTCAGGTTTATACAGTTTATAACCAGGATTTTTATTTTTTGTTAGTTTACAAAATTCTGTGTAGGTGGAAAATATTTTTTGGGAATTTCAAGTTAAAAATGTACATAAATGAATGAAAAACAAACAAAATTGGAAGGCGTTGGTAGTGTCTGTGTGTTTGTAGGAATGTGGGTGTCAACGTTTTAAGTTTCTTCAGCTGCCATAATTATTCATTATGCATGCCAACATACATGCAATGATGTAGAAAACATGAACCAATGTGTCGACCTGAGATTGTCTTGCTGACATTGAAGCAGTTCTAGGAGCCATATCGGAAGTCATTTTGTCCTACAAGTTATGTTACTTAAACATTCCTTGGACAACACCTAATTTTGAAACATCATAGTTCAAATAATATATGTCAGAAGACTTCTATATTTTACTCATAAACTACCAGTTTTGAAAATCAATTAGTAAAATATCCTTAAGATTTAGAGATTCATCAGTACTTTGGGTCAGTCCACCTAGCCATTTTTTGGGATCATTACATGAGTATTCAATGTTATTTTCTGTTTGAGCCTTGCACTGATTGTTTGATTGGTGTTCTGGATGTCTGCAGTTCATTTATTTAGACAGCTTCATGCAATGTGATCTTTTGCTGTTTGGTGTTGCATTAAGGTAGAATTCGGATTATTCATGCAATTAGCACTGGTAAACAGAGTTAACCATTCAGTAGGCATTTAGCGTTTCATCTATTACTCAGCCAAATAAAAGATATCACATGGTTTTACTGTGTTTACCCTGTGGGATTCCTGGTAGGTTTGATCCCTGGCAACTTGTTGCTTTTAAAAGGTCACTTGGTTGATTGCGAGTCATACCCTGCCAGCATGGACTTTGTTCATGATATCAATAACTGGTTTGTCTGGTTCAGATTTGATCATTTACAGGCCACTGTATTTTGGCTTTAAACAAAAAAGAAACAAAAATGACACGTTTGTCCACTACCACATATATCGCCGTTCATAATACTACTCTTCATCTAGACCGCCTCCGTGGTCTTGTGGTAGAGCGTCCGCCCGGAGAGCGGAAGGTCCGGGGTTCTATCCCCGACCGTGTCATACCAAAAGACGTTAAAAGATGGCACTTGTTGTTACCCTGTCTGGCGCTCGGCATTAAGGGGCTAAAACAAGGACTGGTCGGCTCGCAGTCAGTATACTGTGTCTGAGTGGGGTATTCATCTCAGTGAGCTCGCACTATAAATCGGCATCAGTCCGGACTAGTACAAGCAGCCACACAAACACATGCACGTCGCTATGTAAGTGCAATAATCTTGGACGCGACGTTAAACCCCATTTCACCTCACCTCACCTCACTCTTCATCTAATGTGCCAACCCTCTCCCTGTTGAAACCTTCAAATGCAATCGATGCAATGTATATACCCTTTCTATCCTGCTATCCGGAGTGAAGAACATCATATAGAGTTGTGAACATTTCAATAAAAAGTATGTACTGTATTTTGGGTGAGAGTCAAAAGCATCAGTTACAATGCCTATTGTAACAAGACCAAAGAACAATAGTTGTAGAGTTTCTTTCACTGAATTGTAGATCTTCCATCAAAAAAGAGACCAGCACAACAGACCTATCTGTAATCTTTTTTCCAATCTGTTAAAGCTATCGCCGAAGCCCGTAATCCAATAAAACAAAATCTCAAAGGCTTCCACAATCCTCAGTCACAATTATTGGGCAACATATTAAGCCATTTAAGCTTATCTGACTTCAGTGGAGATGACCGATTGGACCAGTTCTTTCGTCTTCGTGCAAAATTCAGCCATGCTGCTTTCCACCAGGCAGATGATGACTGCATGTACTAATTCTTTACTGGTAAAGAGTATTGTCCCAGGCAGCTGGAAGCCCCGAGCCTGGTGCTGACATCTGATTGTGATCACACTACTGCACAGTACAGTCATGTGGCATTAGGATTAGACACGGACTTCCATTGGCGAGGACGTTGTAAATTCAGCGTAATACCTTCAGGATATAAATAATATAAAAAAATTATTCTCAGTTTATCTCATCAACTGGCTTGTATTCCTTTTATGGATCTGTGTGCAATCTAATTAAAATCAGATCTTTTAGTGATCAGATTTGATACCCCTCTCAAGGTCTGACATAAGTTCTAATCAGCCTATCAGCATGGGGACTTTTAATTCTCAGTGCGAGTGAGTGGAGCTATTGGAACCGCATGTTTGACTTTTGAACTTAGATCTTGTGGTAGAGAGTCCGCCCAGAGAGCGGAAGGTCCGGGGTTCGATCCCCGGCCGCGTCATACCAAAAGACGTTAAAAGATGGTACTTATTGTTACCATGTCTGGCGCTCGGCATAAAGGGGCTAAACCAAGGACTGGTCAGCTCGGAGTCAGTATACTGTGTCTGAGAGGGTTATTCATGTTAAAACTGCCGCATTGTATCTCAGTGAGCTAGCACTATAAATCGGCATCAGTCTGGACGAGTACAAGCAGCCACACAAACACACACGTACATAGATGTCGCTATATAAGTGGAATAATCTTGGACGCAACGTTAAACCCAATTTCACCTCACCTCACTTGAGCTTAGAAACAAAAGCAAATGAGCAGTTACGAATGAAAAATAGTGACTGTGTGATTTTGTGAATATTTTACACAGTGTCAATTCACTTTTGCAATCAACAAGGATTTTTAGGTGTGCATGGTTTTATTAATCCCAAATCTCTCATGAGTAAAAGTTCCAGTGAAAGGCTGTCCATAGCCACTAGTTTGTGGAAGAGTGAGTATGGTTTTACAGTGCTTTTAGCAATATTCCTGCAATATCACGGTGGGGACACCAGGAATGGACTTCACACATTGTACCAATGTGGGGATTCGAACCCGGGTCTTTGTCGTGATGAGCGAACGCTTTAACCACCAGGCTACCCCACCTCCCCATTTGAGAATGAAGGCAAGCTGAAAGCTAACATTTGATCAGCTCAAAACCCAATGAATCATTCAATTTTTATTTGGAGATCAAAGTTCGCTCAGAGTAGTTGTCAGTTTTTGTCAGAGGAGCTATCAATCAAAGTGAAATATCTGATCTTGATGAGATTGAACAAGTTTGCTAGCAACTGAGGTAGAAATGTTAAAACAAGGGGGATAACTCTTCTGTTGTTTCATGTCAGTCTTGTTCACACTTTTGGGCCCCAAGACATTTTATGGTTCAATTCAGCAGGATATATTAGACTTGGTGTCTGCGTTTGGAAAATGTGATATATTATGGAAGGCTCATATATTCATGCATTGTTCATCAACTTTTAAACCATTTCAGAAAGGAGTATTGATTAAAGTAGACACAATTTATGGATAACAACTTCTTTAATTTTACTTTATTGGCAATGTTTCGATATAGATCCTTATACCATTGTCAAGCAAGGCACATTTCATCAGCCTTGCTTGAGAATGGTAGAAGGATCTATACTGAAACATTGCCATTGTCAACTTCTGAGGAAATTGCTTATCAAACAAGAGTATTGAACATATCACATGCTCAATACTCTCTTTGCCCTTGATTAAAACCATTTCTTGTGTTGGACATAAATAGACCGTTAATGGTCCAAATCATCCTAAATCTCAAATACCTATCTACGTGGTCAGTCTCGACATTCACAAACCCTTTTAATTAAATCAGAGACTGTATTTCACATTTCATCACTTGTAATGTGATCAACCACCTCCGTGGGCTAGTGGTAGAGCATCCGCCCAGAGAGGTAGATGCATGAACATCACTTTTTAAGAGCAATAATCTTGGGCACAATATTAAACCCCATTTCACCTCACCACCTGTCATATGATCAGAGACTGTATTTCACATTTCATCACCTGTCATGTGATCAGAGACTGTATTTCACATTTCATCACTTGTAATGTGATCAGAGACTGTATTTCACATTTCATCACTTGTAATGTGATCAGAGACTGTATTTCACATTTCATCACTTGTAATGTGATCAGAGACTGTATTTCACATTTCATCACTTATCATGTGATCAGAGACTGTATTTCACATTTCATCACTTGTAATGTGATCAGAGACCGTTTTTCACATTTCATCACTTGTAATGTGATCAGAGACTGTATTTCACATTTCATCACTTGTAATGTGATCAGAGACTGTGTTTCACATTTCATCACTTGTAATGTGATCAGAGACTGTATTTCACATTGCATCACTTGTAATGTGATCGGAGACCGTTTTTCACATTTCATCACTTGTAATGTGATCAGAGACCGTTTTTCACATTTCATCACTTGTAATGTGATCAGAGACTGTATTTCACATTTCATCACTTGTAATGTGATCAGAGACTGTATTTCACATTTCATCACTTGTAATGTGATCAGAGACTGTATTTCACATTTCATCACTTGTATTGTGATCAGAGACTGTATTTCACATTTCATCACTTATCATGTGATCAGAGACCGTTTTTCACATTTCATCACTTGTAATGTGATCAGAGACTGTGTTTCACATTTCATCACTTGTAATGTGGTCAAAGACTGTATTTCACATTTCATCACTTGTAATGTGATCAGAGACTGTATTTCACATTGCATCACTTGTAATGTGGTCAAAGACTGTATTTCACATTTCATCACTTGTAAGTGATCAGAGACTGTATTCACATTTCATCACTTGTAATGTGGTCACATTTTTTTACAGGTTTACATTTCATCACCTCGTAATTTGACAAGTTACCAGTTACTTTTTTTCTCTCTTTGT